AGAGAGAGAGAGAGAGAGAGAGAGAATGAGCAGGGGAGGGGCAAAGAGAAAGAAGGAGACACAGAATCTGAAGCAGGCTCCAGGCTCAGAGCAGTCAGCACAGAGCCCAACACGAGGCTCAAACTCACGAGTTGTGAGATCATGACCTGTGCCGAAGTCAGACGCTTAACTGACTGAGCCACCTAGGCACCCTATCTAAATTTATTTTAAAATTGAAGTTTACATTCAGTTAAAATGTTATGTCTTATGAAAAAAGCAGAGTTTCTCTATTGGAGGATTGTGTAGTGTATTGTGTTTCCCCCTTTTTCTTTACCTTCCAGGAAGCTTAGAGATAAGCTTAATGCTGAGAAACACACACACACACACACACACACACACACACACACACACAAAAAAACCAGAACCTGGACTGAAATTCTAGCTCACTCCTTACTCCAAGCATGACCTTAGGCAAATCACTTAACCTCAGAGCAGCAGTTTTTCTGGCTACCTCTCATGGCCACCACATGGCTCCTGTGAGAATGGCAGCTTCACTAAAGTGTATCCCATGGCTTGTAGCTGGTCACACTTTCCTGATAATAGGTTTTTTTTTTTTTTAAATCATTTGTGTTTATTATCAAAAGTCATATTGAAAATGAAGATGTGAAACGGAAAAAAAAAACTTCAACCCAATTCCCGCTGTAACTCAAACACAGGTAATATGTCAGAATCTTTCCTTCTTTTGTTTGCTCCCATTCCTAACGTCTGATTTCTGCTGTGAGTGGGCTCTTAGTGACTCACATTATAACCCAGACGCATATGTGAGGAGAAGAGCCATGATCCTTTCCTACTGGTCAGTGAATCTGGGAGGGTGCCTCCTGGAATACACAGCCTTAAGAATCGTGGCCACCGCCCTTGTCATCTTCCTCAGCATGGCAGGTATTCTTTGCCCCCATGCAAGAGCCCTTCTCCAAGAGAATTATGCATCCCTGGCACCAATTTCAAAGCTTCCACTGCCCTTCAGCATAACAGATGATGGCTGGCCATGCAGAACCATGTCTCAGCTTGTGGCCACAGGATTAAAAATATTATAAAAGCATTTCCGCTCATGAGTGTGGTAGTCATCTGGTTCCCATCTTCTGCCCTCTTCTTCCCCATCACACTCTCTGCAGCATTAGAAGCATTGAAGACTCATGTGATGTGGAGAAGAAACCTGCATGTGACAGCTCTCTGTACTCCGAAAGGTAAGTCTACTATCTTTCCAGGGAGCTCTCAGGTCTACAGAGAAGAAACAGCTGAGAGACATTTCCACACTAAGTCTATTTGCTTTTGTCTTCCATTTGGCTGCTTCTGATCCACTTGCAGATCTGTCCTTGGGATGTCACACTTGTGGCAACTAAAGCCTTTGGACCCAGCTAAGACGAAGAGGGCAAACTCAAAAGGCTACTGAGAAGGGAAATTATGATGCCTGAAGGCCCAGGGAGCTCATGTTAGCAGGAGAGGCCCTTGGAATTAGAACCTAAATGATCACTTAATTAACCTGTAAATATGACCAGAAAGAAAAAAAAAAAAAACTAAACTACAAAAGACAGCAATAGGTGGAAAGTGAGGAAAAATGGGTTGCTATCATCAAGAAGCCAGAGAGAGCCATTCATGTGAATTCAATGAAGGTGCAGACATTGCTTCATTCAGCAGTTTTTAAAGCTGTCACTAGATGACAGTGGCCACAGGATGGTCTTAATGATAAAGAAGTCATATTTTTAAATTCTTGAAATAAAAGAGAAAGGAGTCTTAGAGATGCAGTTCACTCAGGTCACAGTGAAGGGAACAAGCCTGAAAAGAATAAATAATGTACCTTATGTTACACAGGGAGTTAGTGGCAGAGCCAGGACTAAATCCCAGGTCCATGACTACTCCCAGGTCAGGGGTATTTCTACTGTGTTATCTGACTAACTGTGAGCTGAAACTGGTGATGCTAAAATACATGGGGGGGGGGGTGGGGAACAGGATTTTGATTAAGGCAGGAGTCTTTAGCAACACTGTTAAGAGACTGAGCCCTACATGATGGAGGGACCAAACCTGAGATGATCATGGTAATTCTGGGCCCTTGAAAGGAGGATCCTGTGTGGCTCCAGGTTGGTAGCACCACCTCTGGCTTCTGTCAGAAGCATATCCAAATCTCTGAAAGAAAGCACTCCCAATTTATGCCTGAAGAATCATGGCGGGCAGGCACTTTGAGCAGGTTCCCTCTGAGGAGGAAAAGCAGTGGTGACTCTCAGAAACAAAAGCAGGGACCCTCAAAGTGGGAAGATACTCAACCTAGAAGTCGGTATCTAGAACTCCAACATGATGTCCCATCAGAATCTACAGCCAGACTGTCTTTGGGATGGTCATTGGAGTATCACGGGGCAGGGTGGGTCCAAGAGTGTAGGGTCTGAGAGGCAGGGCTTAGGCATGAAGGGAAGCATCATGAAGACAGGGGGCCAGGTAGGGAAGACAAGGGCACATGTCCTATAGAAGAAGGCATGGGTCTTCCTGTTCTAGAGGAGAGTAGTGCCCCCAGCATGCCAGGCAAGGGGTCAGGGAGAGGTAAGCTGCCTGGAATAAGAATCAAACCAAGGGGTCCACACATATGATTGTGAGTACGGTGAAGATACATGACCAATTTCTGGAAATATCATGAAGGTCTATAGTAAACCTAGGCCCAGCCAAGGGATATGTAACCAATTTCACACTGCAGAAAAAGGTGGCAGGCTGAGAATACAGGCACATAGGGCTGTTTGTGTCAAATCAGAGGGTCTGGCTGCATCACATCAGTAGCCTGCATGCCAGCCTGATTGCCAGGTTCTTGTTTTTCATCTCACAGAACAACTGGAGGGATCTGTACTTACTGCAACCAGGAGATCAGAGACTGCCCAAAGATTACCCTAGAGCATCTTGGCATCTGCTGCCATGATTATTGCTTTAAGGTAAGGAAGAAGGGTGGTGCTGCTAACATTGTCCAGACTTAGGGAGCCTCGTGGATCAAAGACTAGAAAGAAGGCTTGATCTCTGTGTGATTGTGCTCCATGCCAGAGGCTTGGGAGAAGTGGGAACTGAATGAGTGGATGGAGTTGAGGATGCCAGCAGTCATTTCCACTGTGCTCAGCATCTTTTGCAAACTGGAAGCCAGAATGCCTGATCAGCCCAGGGCAGCCATGGAGATGGTTGGAGACCTAGACACCTAGGAACTCATGACCCCTCTTATTCAAGACTGTCTGCAGGAAGGTCCACTGTAGATGACTGGCCACTTTTGTCCTTCAGATATCCACTAGAGTGGCAGGTGTGAGAGTCCTGAAGACAGCAGAGCTACACTGTTGTAATAGCCTTCCCTTTCATTAGGTTTTCATATCACCTTCCTTTGGACCTTAAATATCACAATTAAAGTCCCTCAGCCCTCCTACAACAGCAATGGCTTACTTTACATATGACCGCAGGTTCAGTGTCCTTTATGGGCTACCTCACCATACCCTTATGATAACCTGCCAGTGTGCCACTTTATATATCAGGAAATAGAGTCTCAGAGAACCTCAGTAACTTGCCCAAGATCACCCCGCTAATAAACAGTGGATTTAGGGCTCAAATCCAGGCACAGTTCTGAAACCTGGGCTCCTAACTACTATGTGATCATCATGCCTGCTAATTTGTGTGGGTTTGTTTGTTTGAGTTTTGTCTCTGTTTTCTACCAACTTTTGTTCTCTGCTTCAAAGTCCAGGATGTGCCATCAAGTCAGTGTCTGCTCAGGTGCACCCTCCACACTCCACTAATTTATGTTGCTTCACTTGCATGTTGACCTCTAGCTTGCTTTCTCTTTCAGTGTGGGATTTGCAGTAAACCAATGGGTGAGCTCCTGGATCAGATCTTCATTCACCATGACACCATCCACTGTGGGAAATGCTATGAGAAGCTCTTCTAGGTGGGTACCAAGCAGCCAGGAAACTTATTTGGGAGAAGAAATGTGCCCGGGTCTCTTCCTGAGTCTCAAACCAGAATGCTACTATCTCTCTTAGCCTTGAGGCTTTGAAGTTTTAGGTGGTACAGATAAAGACCCTCCCCAAAGACCCTTCTAAGTTGCAGGAGTTATAGCATCTTCCTCTCAATAAGTACCTTTCATGCAGCATCTTATCTGAGCTCTCTAGCTTCCCTGGGATGCTGGCCAGGCCTGTGTTGTTAGCCTCATTTGAGAACAAGCAAATGAAGACCTAAAAAGGAAACAACTAGCTAGTGGGTGGCAGAATCAGGATCTCAACCCAGAACTTCTAATTCAAATCCAAGGCTCTCTTCTAAATTCCACCATTGGATCACTTCCACCATTGCTTATATAGCATAAAATCAGGACTCAAAAAGCAAGGTGCTCAGTGAAACTAGAATCAGGTGGGGGACCAGCAGTAGGTAAAGACCAGGATAAATGGTCATATGTGGGAGGGGATGGTGCCATCCTGGGGCTGGCCCAACCAGGAAGGGCTGCTTGGGTAACCTCTGGACCATATCCCCAACACTGCCTGAAGACAGGTTTGCATGCTAAAAGCCAATAGAACTGACCCAGACTCAGTGTCTGAGCTGCATGGTGCCTATAGGACACTGCCTTTCCAAATTCTGGGAGCCCCTTCTCCTTAGCACCTCCTCAACTAGAAACACAGAGCAGAGTATCCACCTTGAAGACAATGGAAATGGGTAGCAACCAGGCTCTGCACCAGCTATAAGCCTCCTGCCTTCTCTCTAGAAGACACTTGACCTGGACTATTTTACCTAATGCCTGGAGACATCAGCCACCCCAAGAACCTCTGACTGGTTATTGGATTGGATGTGCATTTCTAATCTAATGGCTACTACTATTTTCTTTTAGCTCTTCCAGGCTGAGAAGAAGTTGATGACTCCTGGACAAGTTTGGCTGTCCTCAGTTGCCCCAAGTTGCTAGCTCCTCTTCCCTCACTTTCCTCCTCCCCATTTGATTTCTTCAGACTTTTGCCCTTCTCAAGTTGAACTGATTGCATCTAGTAGAGTATCTTGATGATGACAATAATGTGTGTGTGTAGCTTTTAATAGCTTAGCAAGCACTTTACATCTATGATTTTATTTCAGGCTCAAGAAAAAAAAAAGATTGAACAAGAATTCCATCTTGGCTTTCTTAAGATAGGTTGGCTTCCTGATGAGTTTAGATGGTCTGGTACGATAGGCAGGAGCATGAGTTTCAGCGTGTCCTGACTTTTGGGACAGAGAGCAACCCCACATTCTAGGTTACAGCTCTAAGTGTATCTTTGGGGCTTGAAAACAAGAGGTCTCCTGAAGCTTCTGAGGGGCCAGGTGGGTAAATCTCTGGTGGGTAAATTGCAGACATTGAATGCTAGGGATTGGCTTAGGCTAATATTTAGCTTGTCTGTTATAGTTGCCATATATATGTGTGTATGTATGTATACATATATATATACATACATTTATATATTTAACTTTCCATACACATTTAAAAATAGTTAATTGCTTTTTATTGAGTTATATAGCAGATTTTAATTATCTTCTTCCCACTTTTCACTATAATTGAGGGTTTTTTTTTTTTCCTGCAAGCTTGTGGGCATGCATTTGAAAGTCTACACAGATAAGATTACATTCCATGGGGTGTGATTCTTAAGAGGCCACTGACCAAAGGAACATCTGTCTCTGAATCTTGATAGCTGATTAATACCTTTTCCCTCAATTCCAATAGTTACACAGAAATCTTCAAAAGTAGGTTTCAGGTTGTATAGACTCCAGCAGGATTAAGAAGGGAGAAAAACAGTTAACATTTCTCAAGGCCTTACTACCTATCAGGCATTATCACAAAGTGATGGCATCAATCCTCATACTAATCCTATGCAGAGGTTATTTTTGTCCCCAATTTATAGATGGGAATATCAAGGCTCAGAAGGTGGTCACTACATCGTGTGGAACCATTGCTGTCTCTCTCCAGAACCCATGTTCTCAGTAACAGTAACCACATTACCAAGCATTGATTTAGTGTTGTGTGCCAAGGTCTGTGCGGAGGTTACCTCATTTTACCAAGTAACATTGCCCTCCATAGGTCTCCCCTGAGGCATACTCTTACAAAGAGAGGAAAGTATAAAATCATGTTCCTCCTCTGGGCATCCTAGGTCTCCCTGTGAAGTACCACAAAAGTCAAAGTGCCCTCCTTCCCTCTCCTCCCCTTTCTATGAAAATAATTTTGAACTGAGATACTCTTCCAAACTTAGATTTCTCTGCTGGGTAGAGACTTGACTCACAGACCTTCCCAAAGAAGAGCTTGTCAACCCAGGGAAAGCCACAGTGAGCTACCCGATCTGAGCTAGCCAGGATATCAGCAACTACTGGAGTCCCAAGTACTTGGAACAGAGAAATCTGTTGACTGTCTAAACAAATTGCAGGCCCATCCATGTGGTCAGCTGATACTCTACTCAGGTTCAACTAAGCTCATCTGCCTTTGGGACCAAGATCACTGTGTAAGGTCCTTGAGAGGAAGGACAACCTGAAAGTTTTCTGATGAAAACTGAGGGTCTGTTCCCTTAATTTAATTAGAAAATGTCTCCATCTCTCTCCAGTTTCTGACTCCTACGCACATTGGCTGGTGGACTTGTCTTCCTGTCAAATGATCAGAGAGGAACATTCCATTTATTTGCATAGATGTGCATCAGATTTGCTCTGGAGGGGAAAAGTGATACAATAGGTCATGTACCACTAAATATGAGCTGGTATTCCCCAGGTATAGCCCACAGCGAGGGATTTGGCACATGATAGACACTGACACATAGGTGCTAAATGAATGAATAAAAGGGAAAGAAAGGCTGCTCCTTTGTGTTGGAGGTACCAACCCTGAGTCAGGATAGCCTAGTTGATCGAGTACAGGATAAAGAGATCCAAGATAGGCTGACTTCTCCACCTTTAAGATACACTGTGCCTTTAAGGGAGTTTTAGAACCAATATGCAAGAAATTGATGGAAAGCTTGTAAGATCAATATTGATTTCTATTCAAAACAGACACTTTCATGTCTAAAAAGGCACAAAATTCTGCAGACTTAAGAGAGGTGGTTGCATTATACTTTTGCTTCTTTTTAATTGTCTAGTGTTTTTAATCACATTTGCTTAACCCAAATTAATGTACTCAATTATAATAAATATTGAGATATTAAATATGTCAATGTAGTCAATGTTAAGGTTTCCTTTTTTTTTTAAGTGTAATAACTTGGTGTATTGGCTGTGTAATTTATTTTCTAATATTACCTGAAGCCATTCTCTATAAAAGCAAATAAATACTTCAAGAAGTATCAAATCTAAAGAGGCAAAAAATAGCAAAATCTAGAAATCATGCATGCACAGGAAGCATAGCATTTTAGACTAGTCAGATATTTTTGTTTTTTTTTAAGTTTATTTATTTATTTTGAGAGAGAGAGCAAGTGCACAAGTGGGAGACGGGCAGAGAGAGAGGGAGACCGAGGATCCAATGTGGGCTCTGTGCTGAGAGCACAGAGCCTGATGCGGGGCTCAAACTTGTGAACCATGACACCATGACCTGAGCCGAAGTCAGATGCTTAACAGACTGAGCCATCCAGGTGTCCCTAGACTGATGAGATCTTAACAAAGAATATTTTATTCTTTTGGGTCCATCCTCCCCTTTATTACCATTGCATACAGATGGCCATCTAGTCCTTGTACACTTGCAATGATCAGCTCAGTCCCATACAAGCCCACTCTGTGGACAGGTCCAGTTTCAGAAAATGCGTTGTTCAGTTGAGTTAGAATCTTTTCCTTTTAACTGTCACCCACTGGTAATATATCCTCCCTTGCCCATATGCCAGCCCCTAAAGTAATAAAGATGCTTATTGGGTTCTCCCTCATCAACTCTTCTCCCATCTAAACAACCCTGGTCCCATAAACTCTTCGTTGACAATAATTCTAAATATGTATCTCTCAAATATCCTTCTCAAAGGTGCCCACACACCATCTGAACCCATTCCTCCAGAAGTGTACCAGTAGTCAAGACTTTCATCTTTCTCATTAAAGTCAGTGCTACAGAATCCTGTTGAATCATCGTGCTGCCTATCAAGTGACCCACACTTCTGAGTTTTATATCCCAAAATACAATTTTCTTACTGTATATGTCTTAATCTATCCCAGGGATAAAAAAAGGCGATCAAAAGTCCAAAGATAAAAGACATGATAGAGGAATCCTTCCACTAGTGAGCAGGGACCTTGGAACCCAATGTTCAATAGCTATTGAGCTAGTGTCCCTGGAGCTACTTTCTCACCCCAACCTCAGTCACCATCTTGGCTACATGAGTACAATTGGGAATGGAAGAAGAGGTTTTGTTACTTCAGAGGATAAGGGCTACAGCAGTAGCTCCTAACCAGATATTTCTAGGACTCTGTTGATGACAGTATATGACACAAATACCTAAAAGGAAAATACGGTAGTGTTATTTTGAAAAATCACTTAGCATACCATGTTTCCACCAAGAAGGTTGATCCCAGAACATACCCTCTATTACTCCCCCACCTCCCCCATAGATCTAACCCATGAAGGCCCCCAACCCATGAACCCTCATGTGGTGTCCTCTAAGGACTCTGCTTATGAATGTCTTCAACCTGTAGGTCTCCAAAGAACACATTCCTCTTGTGATGCTTCTTTGTACAATATCTTCTCCCTGCGGAGGCCCCAAGGGAGGAAAGCTTTCACCAGGGGAACCAACAATGGTTCCATTGAACTGAAAGTTGAGACTGCCACATGGCCATGTGGGGGTCCCTCATGCCACTGAAACAACAAAGAAGAGGGTTAGTGGCTGGTTGATTGCTTCTGATTATCAAGGGGAAACACGGTTGCTGTTACATAGTGGGGGCAGGAAGGACTATGTTTGCAACCTAGGAGATTGATCCTCTGAGAGTGTTTCCTAGTGTTCCCATGTCCAATAATACAAGTTAATGGAAAACTATAGTGAACCATGCAGGCAGGACCACTAAGGGCTCATACTGGTCAGAAATGAAGATTTGTATCTTCCCACCAGGTAAACAACCCATCCACCTGAATGAGGTCATAGAGAACTTGAAATACTGGTGGAAGAAGGAAATTATAAATACTATGACCTCATGACCAGCTTCAGAAATAAGAGCTATAGAAACTATGCATATTTTGTCTTGCTTTGTTGTTATATATTTGAATCTATTAGCCCAATTTTCCTTCTCTCATTTATTAACCTCAATTTAAATTGTGTGGGTGGTGCTTAATCTTATAGTCTGTGGATTACAGCATATCAAAGTGTAATTGTGACAGAACTAGAAAAGGAACAGACATCCCCCAGAGAATGAGGATGTGTCTAATGGGATTTTTGACACTGCTTCTTGGAGAAGATGAAGGCACATTCCCCTATATGAAGAATGCTTGCATTATGCTAAGCAGAAACATAGTATTGCTATTGAATATTTGGGAGAAAAATATGGATAGAAGAGTATAATGGGTGATGAGTGGTAAAGAGGTGGCCCATGCTGGATTGGCTGTTAGCAACTAGGCAGCATGCTTGCCTCTTTGTGCATTCTCTCCCCTATATAAGGGAGAATACTCGAAACTACAGGTCCCGGAATCCATCATCAAAGTGTTTCTGGGATCAGTTCTGCAGGTACTTGAGTATTCTAAAAGGTAATTATACAGGATTTGGAAGGCAGAAAAGAAGCCCTTATTCTCTGGCAGCAACACTGAACACTATGGGTTGTCAAAAATAGGGTACACATGTGTTTTTTCAGTGGCCTCTGGAGAACCCGAGGATCATGACAGTCCTTTTGGAAGCTGGAATCATGGGGTTTTTTCCTTATGTTCTAGTGGCAGCCTCCCTGATCTTTGTTGCTCTAGCCTTCTGTTGATGGTGTA